GAGTATCCATGCCCAAAGCATAATTCCGTTCGTGTTCGAGGAGGATAGGGTGACCAGAGCATCCATGCCCAAAGCATAATTCCGTTCGTGTTCCCAGACAAATATGGTGACTGCTGAGAGAGAATGACACACTGGGCGCAACATTTTTTCTAGTTTGCAACTTTATTCTGCTGCCCTCACCTCCAGCGTAGGCTTTCGAACTCGTCGCAGAACAACCCGCTGAGCGCAGTGTCTTCCCAACTTTACGACACTTTTCGGAGGTGTCGGCGTCACAGTATGCCATGTCCCCTTTGTGATAGCCAGCGCAGCAATCCTCAAAAAAGTAAACCTTCTGTTGTTTTTTTGTGCATGCCACTATGCAGGCCTCTGGCAGCCATGTGCCACAAAACCCACAAAAATGCGTTTTCACCTTCAGATCTATGAGAAGTAGGTGTGTCTCTTGAAGTGCAAATGTACTTGGGGTCATTCAAGCACGACTTACCTTGTTTTGAAGGCTGATGGTTTTAGCTTTTTCTTTTTCGCCACAGGAGCTTGGAGTTTAGGGTTGGTGTTTGGGGTTAAGAGTCTTTTGTGAGTGAGTAGAACCTACCAGGTACCTGGACTTCCCCATTCTTAGGTTGTACCCATTTGGCGGTGTTGTTATGAAAAGCGTGCCTGGAACTAGTAAGCCTTTGAAACTTCAATCGAGTAGTATCTTATTTGGGGATGCTATGGTGCCCAATATAGAGTAAGATGATATCTTCCTTTCGGGTATAGTATCAGATGATATAAAGCATATAGTCTTACTGGGTTCAACCTCCAGAAACAACGCTACTCAAATCCCAGCCCGCTGTCGCCACCCCCAAGGCGTGTAACTTATTTTCATCCCATACGATCACATGACTATGTGTTTGGCTTGCCCAGTTGTAGATCCCATTTAGACGTGCGCGTGGCTTGATATTAGGTTTCCTTTGGTACTCAGTTCTGCTAGTTAGCCAGTCTTCTGTAGTTGTACAATTTTTCAAGGTACCCAGGAGTACTTATTCTTTTCTGCCGTTTGCAGAGGTAGACCCTGAAACCCGATTCCCTACTTCTCCGGAAAGCTGCAGGATCCAGACTGCGAAGAGCATCTAACCCGCATCCAAAACCTGATGGCCCGGAGGTCACAATTCGGTTTTTACAGGGTTTGGGGGTTTTCGGTCTCGGGCTTGGCCAAAGCTTGGGACTTGATGGTTCAGAGATTGGGACGCATATGTGCGGCGCTGTGGTAAGAGAACTCGAATGCTGGAGACTTCCCGACTGTTGTTTTCATTGATTTATTTTTTTTACATGCTCGCAATCATCGTAAGTACTGTTTCTTTGGCGAAGCCCTACTCCATCATGCGGGTCTACGACTTTGTACAGGTTTGTTTGGGGGTTTCTGGGCCGTGGTCCAAGAGAGTTCCGGTTTCCAGCCTGGTGTTCAGGGGTGCTGGCATGAGCTTATGTCAGATGTTCTTGGTTTTGCAAGTGAGAAAAGTGGGGGCAGGAGCATCATTCATGGCTTAGCAGCATAGCGAGGTTTCTTTCTCTGCCTGTCTGTGCTTGAGACCTTACGTAACGTTCCTCTCTTCTCACAGCCTTATCATATCCAAACAAAAGACACTAAGGCCCTTGCGCGCCATCTATAGGTGTCTTTTTCTGTCGACAAACTATGCCCTACACCCTGAACCTTGGACCCTTAGACCCTTCCTTTTTTAACACCGCAGGGGACTGGGCAGCTGCATTTTGCTGCAATCTCTTTTGCCCTCGACTCTTTTTACAGTCTTGCTACCATCTTCGAATGCAGCTTGTCATGGTTGGCGTGCTGGGCTAGCGAAATGCTTTTCATTGGCTTGTACCTTCCGGCTTGACAGACGAGCGCGTACGATCCGCAACTAGGGTCACCGCAGCTTTCAGCTGTAAATTGTTCACCTATAAGGTAGAGACCGACTGCTCCATGGATAGATGAGACAGTGCAATTGTCGCCTGTTGACCCCAAACTTGGATCCACGGCAGGGCTACGGCGCTACGGAGGTTCTATGGTCCAAGCCTTGTCCCTCCCGCGGCGTCTAAATTCTACGCCCCTTGAATGCTAGCACCTGCATCTCAAGCCCCCATCGCGCTGCCCCGTAGCCGTTGCTGGCACAGAGGCGCTGGGAAGACCTACGGGTCCTCTCCCGCCTAGTTCACTTCGCGGGGCTCCACTTAGAAGCATGTGTACTAGGAGCACGAATACCCGCCAAAAAAGCAACTTCGGATCCCAATACAGTAAAAAGGAGACATATGGCTTGACATGGCTTTGATGATGCAAGCCAGGAACTACGTAACACTTTTTGCAGCTCGGTAAAGTCACACTCCAGGGTCCCTCCACCCAGCGCTTTGCTGAGGGTACACGAATAGTCGCCCACACGAAACAACAATAAACCTTGAGCCTCAAGCAAAAGTCTCAGCTTTACCTTACAGATCCATGTGCTCCATTGGAAAGACGCAGAGCTTGCGTACAACTTTCAAGGGTGGCAATCGAGTCTTGGCTCCAGACCATGAGCGTTTAGGGTCCTCCGTACGTGGATGTTCAAGGAACATATGACATAGTGGTGACTCCCGTAAAGCCCCATGTACTTTAGGAAGGTCATCACCTTTGTCCTTGGTCCACCAGGCATATAGTGAAAGCCCGATGATGTCGCGGGTGATTGTATTCAGAAAGGCTGTATGCATCATCAACAGTGCCAACATTTAACCATGTGCCCCTAGCATGGGCCCTTTGGCTCTTTTGGTTTGGGCGCTGAAGCTACGCAGGTATGGGGTATGAATTCTGTACAGGAGAATGCCAAGCTTAGAGGCTATGGTAGAGCCTGTTACTAAAGAATCAGAATTTGCGAGAGTTAGTAAGACCGTGAGCTTGAGATGAATAGTGGAATCCTCTGTGACAGCAGCCCGAGATCAGAAAGTGATTGATTCCAAGCACTCCGCCCCAACATCCTTCAATCCCAGACACGCTAAACACCTCAATTCAAGAAGCCGGACAGCTCCTGAGGACTGCAGGGAATTTACTTCCAAGTCGATGTCCTGGATGCCACTTGCCTGGAAGCTGCTGAGGTGAGACTATATTGAAACAGAGGTGTCCTTACAAAAGCCTCTAGGGATCTGCGTTTTGAGTTGGGAGTTTGCCGGCTCGAGGCTTCGGGCATGTCAAAGGCTTCTGAGTATACTTTTCAGGGAACCGAAATTTGTGACACTGCTGGGTCTTGAAATCTTGAACCCAAAGCGCCAGACCCTAGCTAAAAATCATGTTATTGAAGCCTGCTACATCCCAACCTGCACTTTGCAGCTGCAAACTCCAGCAGAAGGAGATCATTCATCTCATTAAAGAACTCGGGAACCGAACCATTCATGTCCACCGGAGCTCCATCATGTTGGCGTAGATTGCATGATTCACCTTCTACAAGTTCTAGCCATATCTCGCCAACGCCCAAGCCTTGTCAGGAGAATAAGAACCCCTTGTAGCTGATATGATTGTAATTTAGCCCAAGCTCGGGCCGGCCCTGAGCTCTGCAAGTCAATGCCTCTGAGACACCACTGGATTGCTACCAGTACTGCTGCTACTGCTGCTAGTGCTGCTTTTATGCTGTTAACGATGGTGACGATGGCATGTGGAAGTCTTAGCACCTGCATGGGAATTTATGCAATTCAGCCCCCTGGGGTGGCCTTGAAGCCTTCAGCAAGCTCAACATTATAGTTAAGGACAGCGGACCCGATTCCCATAAGCCAGGTGTCGAAACCCCAAGCCCTAAAGCCTGCTGATACCCCAAGCCTTCAACTCAAAGCCCCACCTCCCAGCAGCGAGGACATCAATCTGGTGAGCCTAACAGGCTGCTGGGCTGAATTATTATACGTAGTATTCGAGTCTTGATGGGCTTCAGGGTTTAAAGCTGAGGCTGTCAAGGGTTTTGAGGGGGCTTGAGGAGGTTCAGGATTTTTGGGGTTGTTTGGGCAGCACTTGAAGGCTCGGACGATTCTCAAAGAGTTGTAGCCGGTCTCCTGGCCCAAGGTATGTCTTGGGAATTCCGACAGAGGTCGTGAAAAGTGTCATGAACTCATGTACAGCCCCATATCCCAAAAGGCTGACCGATTTTTGGGTAACACAAGTCGCAGTAGTTATAGCAAGGACATGCCAGGACGGTAGCAATTGTTTGCAGGGACGGGAGCGAGGCACATTGTCACTGCA